CAACAAAATATTTGCAAATCAAACCCAGAAATATAAAGAATACACCATGACCAAGCAAATTTCAGGAATGTGAGGCTAATTCAATATTTGAAACTCAAACAATGTAATCTACCATATCAATAGTCTAAAAAAGAATAACCACATGATGATATCAGTTGATGCAGAAAAGGCATTTGAAAAATTCAACACCAATTCACGATAGAAATTCTCAAAGAACTAGGAATATAAGGGAACCCCCTGAAACTAATAAAAGGCCTCTAGAAAACGCCTATAGATAACATCAAACTGAACGGTAAAGTCTGGATGCTTTACTCCAGAGAGCGAAAACAAGGCCAGCATATATATTCTCACCAATCCTAGTCAATACTATACTGGAAATTTTAGCCAGTACAATAATGCAAGAAAAAAAAAAGAAAGAAATAAAAGGTATGCAGATAGGAAAGGAAAAATAAATCTGTCTCTCTTCGTGGAAGACATGATTTATCTGTATAGAAAATCCCTTATTGTCTTTCAATGCCTATAACTCCTGTAACTAGTAATGAGTTTAGCAAGGTCACAGGATACAAAGTCAACGAAAATCAATCAAATTTCTATATACTAGAAAAGAACACTGGAAACCAAACTTTTAAAAAGAATAAGATTTAAAATAGCTTAAAAAAATGAAACACATAATCTTAGAAAACATTTACAGGATCTGTATGCTGAAAATTACAAAATGTTGATGAAATAAATCAAAGACAACCTAAATAAATGGGGAGACACACCATGTTCATGGATTAGATGAATCAACATAGTAAAGCTGTCAATTCTCCCTAAAATGATGTATAAGTTTAATATAATTCCTATCAAAATCCTAGCAAGATTTTTTTAGATATAGACAAGATTAAGGAGCTCTAGTGGAAAATTAAGGCGCTCAGCTGCTAACCAAAAGTTCAGCAGTTCAAACCCACCAGCTGCTCTGCAGTAGAAAGATGTGGCAGTCTGCGTCTGTAAAGATTTACAGCCTTGGAAACCCTATGGGAGCAGTTCTACTCTGTCCTATAGGGTCGCTATGAGTCGGAATCAACTCAACGGCAATGGGGTTTTTTTGGTATAGGCAAATTATTCTAAAGTGGAACAAGAATAGCCAAAACAATTTTGAAAAAGCAGGATAAAACTGAAAGAAGCACAATACCCAATTTTAAGACTTATGACATAGCTGCAGTAATGAAGACGTGGTATTGGCGAAGGGATAGATACATAGATCAATAAAACAGAATACAGTCCAGAAATAAACCTCACAAATATGGCAAATTAGTTTTTGACAAAACCATAAAAGCAATTCAATGGAAAAAGAATAGTCTTTTCAACAAATGGTGTTTGAACAACTGGAAATCCACATGCAAAATAATGAACCTCGAGCTAATCCTCCCACCCTATACAAGTTAATGCAAAATATATCACAGATCTAAATGTAAAGTCTCAAACTATGAAACTTACAGAATAGGAGAAAATCTTCATAACCTAGTGTAAAATGGAGGTAGTAATAGTAGCAATAGCATCAGAACCTGTCTAACTTCGGGGGGATAATGTGAATCAAGATCAGCCCAAGGCTGATCCCTATGAGGTAGAGGTCAGACATACCTCCACTCTCCAACGTTTTTTTTTTTTTTTTACCAATTCTGACACCAACCGTCCCTTCCACGGCACTCTCCGCTTCTCTTCTGTGTTTGATAATCTGTTGGCAATGGCCACACAGAACTCACAGTCCATACTTACATTTAAGTCATTTATTAAGAAACAGGGTACAATTCGGGATCAGGAGCAACAGGATACAACTCATGATCAGGATCAGGAAGCATCTAGGCAAAGTCTCCCTTCTTCAGTGCAGGACAGCTCTCTCATCTCCTCTCAACCTTGCAGGCCTCCTCTCAGCCCCCTCAGGACAGGCTTCTCTCGGCCCTGCCACCTGTTGCCACTGGCTCTGCTGCTGGGCCCCTTCTAGGCCTGTCGCTGCCTTCAGTGTTACAGCAGTGTTAACAGCTATTTTAGGTTTCTTGCCTCCTCTCTCACTCTGCTTCTTTCTTCTTTCTTCCTGCTGCTTCTCTTCCTGCTTCTTTGTCTGGAAAACCTCTGTAGGGCTGGCTGGCTACGCGCGCACACACCCACACACACACACACACAACTCTCTCTCTCTCCCCACCCCCCGCAGCGAGGGAGCCACAGACTGACCAATCCCCTCTCAGCAGGTCACAGACACTTCACCTGCACAGTTTATAGTCACTTTATTTGCGTAGTCTATTGACCAATCCCTGTAAGGTTAAGGTGCACACCAATCACAGAGCAGGCTGCAGCCCAGTGCCAGACAAAAAATAGTTGGTTACAGCTTGCCCAGGAAATGTCAATCAATCAACCTGGACAAAAGTAACAAACCCTCTTGGGTAGAAAACTAGGGCTTAAGGGGAAAAAAATCTCTCAAGCTGTTTTTCCAAAGAACCAAGGAAAAGGCCACATAAAGGAACTTATTTCACCGCACCTCAAGTTAGGCAACAAGTTCTCAGATATGACACCAAAATCATGTTCCATAAAAGAAGTAATTTATTAATTGGACATTATCGAAATTAAAAATCTTGCTCTGTAAGTGACACTGTTAAGAGAATGAAAAGACAAGCCAGAGACTGGGAGAAAATATTTTCAAACCACATATCTGACAAAGGACTTGTATCCAGAATATATAAAGAATTTTCAAAACTCAACAGTAAGAAAATGAACAATCCAATTTAAAAACGGGCAGACTTTTGAACAGATACTTCGCCAAGGAAAATATACAAAAAGTAAATAAGTTTATAAAAACATGGTCAACATTATTAGCTATTAGGAAAATGCAAATTAAAACCATGATGAGATACCACTACACACCTACTAGAATAACTAAATTAAAAAATACTGACAATACCAAGTGTTGGTGAGAACGTGAAGCAATTGGAATTCTTATACATTGCTGGTGGGAATGCGAAATAGTTCAACCACTCTGGAAAACAATTTGGCAGATTCTTAAAAAGTTAAACGTATACTTACTATATCAAAAAAAAAAAATCTGTTGCAGTCAAGTCGATTCTGACTCATAGCAACCCTATAGGACAGAGTAGAATTGTCCCGTAGGGTTTTCAAGGAGCAGCTGGTGGATGCAAACTGCTGACCTTTTGGTTTGCAGCTGTAGCTCTTAACCACTGTGCCACCAGGGCTCCACACTTACCACTTAACACAGCAATTCAATATTTACCCTAGAGAGATGAAAATGTCTGTTCATACAAAAACCTGTGCGTGGAAGTTTATAGCAGCTCTACTTACAATTGCCAAAAACTGCAAATAGTGTAAACGTCTTTCAATGGGTAAATGGATAAAGAAGCCATGTGGTATATCCAAGGTCCCTGGGTGGCACAAGAAGTTTGTGATCAGCTGCTAACCTACAGGTTGGTGGTTCAAACCCACCCAGTGACTCCATCGGAGAAAGACATGGCAATCTGCTTCCATAAAGATTACAGCCAAGAAAACCTATGGAGCAGTTCTACCCTGTCACACACGGGGTTGCCATAAATAGGAATCACTTTGACAGCAATGGGTTTGGAGGTTTATTTTTTTGTTTGTTTTTTTGTGTGACATCCATACCACATACTACTCAGCAATAAAAAGGAATGAACTATTGATACACAAAACAACTTAGATGACTCTCCAGAGAATTACGCCGAGTAAAAAAATCCAATCCCAAAAGGTTACAAACTGTGATTCCATTTATATAAGATTCTTTAAATGACCAAACTGAAGAAATGGAGAACAGATTAGTGGTTGCCAGGAGTCTAGGAACAGGGATGAGAGGGGAATGGTGGTGAGTGTGGCTATAAAAGGGCAACATGAGGGACCCCTATGGTGATAGAACTGTTCTGTCTCTTGAGCATATCAATACCAGTATCTTGATTGTGATATTATACTATAATTTTGCAACGTATTACCATTGGAGGAAACTGAGTAAAGGGTACACAGGATCTCTGTATTATTCTTAAAACTATATGCAAATCTACAATTATCTAAAAATAAAAAGTTTAATTAAAAAAGAAGGTTACATACCACAGGATTCCATTTATATGACATTCTTGAAAAGACAAAACTATAGTGACAAAGAACAGATCTGTGGTTGCCAGGGGTTACAGGTTGTGGGGGGTGGATATGACTACAAAGGGGTAGCATGAGACAGTTTTTTGGGGTGATGAAACTATTATCCTATAGACTAGTTAAATCAATCTATACATGCATTAACATTTATCAAACTGTACAGCAACAACAACAAAATCAATTTTACTGTATGTTAATTTAAAAAATAAAAGGTAAAAAAAAATAAACTATGATAGGCTGTGGATGTCTACAGGACTTTGTGTCTTGGCCAAACAAGAATCAAAAATCTGACTGAGAAAATACTTCAGGAAAATCATTTGAAAGATAGGCAGGTTCCCTAAGATATTTCATTCCCAAATTACATTTTGACATTATGTCTTCTGTTCACAGAAGAACGCTGTAGGATGTGTATCTGCAGGAAGTCAGGGACTGCATTTATCACTAGGTTGTGGTTGAAGACAATTCCATCATCCACATTAAGACTCAACAAAGAAATGCTTTGAAACTCAATTCCAGGAAATCCTAACTACCCCCCGCCCAGCCCCGAGGATTGGTGTGCTCTCTCCTGATGGGTAAGGTGAGCCATATTACTGATTCCATTTCCCTTTTTGCTATGACTGCCAGACAACTCAAAGAGAAACTTGCAGCTAAACATTAGTATCTGTTATACCCTAACTCCTACACATATGCACATTCTAACTTGTCCTTGATCTGCTTTCTTTCATATTTTCCCTGATGCTAATGTTTATTTATAAACACCAGAGATTTTCTTTATAATCACCAGAGATTCCTACAGATCTCATCACTTCCACAGTAAAACGAAGGAAGGAACAGACAGACAACATACTTACTTGGGATTTTGCCATTTCTTGCTCTTCTTGGGAAAGGGCAGAGATGTGTGAAGGTTGAGCTGGAGCAACAGGAGAAAAGGAGAGCATATGAGAGACCCCATCAGGCTTTCAGCAGCCAGAATTTCCCACCTAGAAATCTCCTCACAAAGCTAGTTATGAGGCTGCTCTTTGGAAGAGGTTGGCAACCATGTGGTTTTAACAACAATTTGCATATTCTTGGTTCTTTTTCTCATGTGAACATTGAACATGAAGGTTTTTTTTAACTTTATGCATGTGTAACTGACCCAGTAATTGTATTTCTAGGTATTTTCCTTAATGAAATAATTTATTAGAATATATCATACATAATTTTTGTTAGTGCTTCCATCTTGGCATTGATTTCAATACCAAACTTAAAAGATCCTATATAACCCAAGAGATTATCATAATAAGGAAATACAAAGGACGAGATGCTATTTAAATGCTGTTAAAAATAATGTTGTATGGAACTGTACACTTATTATCTTTGTACTTTTCTGTCCATACATCTCAATCAGAAGTTGAAAAAAAGTTATTGAAAACTGTTTAAGCTAAATTGCATTAAACTTCTAAATGGGAAAAAAAAGTAGGTTACAAAACTGCAGGAATCCATCTAAACACTGTATGTTAAATGTTTAAAAGCACATACCCCTATATGCACTCAAAAATGTCTAAGAACAGACACCTAAATGTGTGTAGAGGGTGAGATTAGTCCCTTTTGATTTTCTTTTCCTCTATTTCCTAATCGACTCGACAGCAATGGGTTTGCTTTTTTTTTTTTTTCTATTTCCTAAGTATGTATAATTAAAATATGTTACTTACTTGTTAAACACCAAAATATTGATTTTAAAACTTTCTATTATCCTAATGACATTTTAACCAGGATCTCCCTCATTACCTGGAGCACTAGGCCCCACTCACCCCTCCCACTCCCAAACTCTGGGCGAGGCCCCTAGACAAGGGAGTCCTCTCAGGTGCCTCTTCTTCCCTCTCTCCTCACCTCACAGAGGCTGTCTTGGCCTGGAGCCTGAAGGAGCACTTCGGATGCAGATTCACTTCAGCTGGAGCATTCACAACAGGCCCCTACCTTGGGCTTGGGCAGGGTGAGAGGGGCACAGAGCAGGGGCGGGGAGGGGGGTTGGTAAGGAGGGGCCTGCGCCCTGGGGAGTGCGGCTGAACCCTTAGCGCAGGTCACTGTGCTGGAAATGTGTACAATTCAAAGTTCAATAAGCCCATTCGATCCTGACTATCCCCCGAAATCTGTCCACCATTGAGCCCACAGACGCTCTCCAATCACTGACCTATCGGTCTCCCATCACTCACCCAACCAACTTCCACATCAGTGATCCCCACAGACCTCCCTTCACTCATTCCCCAGAACTCTCCCGTCACTCAGCCCACACCCCCTAGTACTCCCCCACCCCAACCTCACTCTTTCTTGTCAACAGATTTTCGGCTCGCTGCACAGGCCACCGTTACAAGAACTGTCCCCGAGAAGCACTTCCGCTTCAGAACCAACCCTCCAGCACTTACAGGCTTGCGGCGGCCTGTCCCGCGCACGCTCTGTATTGGCTTTGAGACAGCGTCTGCCAATAGTCAACCGGGGCCCAACCCCCTCCGCTTTGCCAGACGCTAAGGTTACGGAGGTAGCGGCGCAGGCGTGGAAGGAAGATGGCCGCATCTGTGTTGTCGCAGCCGGAGGCAAGATGGCCGCGCGCACTGTGTTTCTTTCCCACAAGGGTGGCCATGTTGAGGGGTGTTACGTTTGTTCTGCTGCGGCTGTCATTTCTAAGACTTTCCGAGTCCGATTTTCTTACGGCGGGGAGGGCAAGTGTAGAATTAAGGAAGATATTCTAGCAGGTAGGAATTTGGTGTCTTGAACTTGGAGGGTAATACTGGGTTTGGAGAAGGCGAAATTGAATAGAAAGACGGCATGCATGGCAGGAGACTTCTGTGTGCGCAGACTGGGAGGTAGGGACAGGTCACTGGCTTCATCCAATGGCTGGGGCTGGGAGTTTACATTCTAGCGTTTTCAGGACGGAATGCAGACAAACAAAAAGCTGAAGAATAAATAAACAGCGATATGGAACACACACACAACGGGGGTGGGGAGGGGGTGGGGGGAGGAGACTTGTTAAGTAGTGGCTAACAG